TAATTTAATATTAAAATATCTTTAAAATGTCCTATACCACTTGAAAAGTGATTTTTTTTCTTATCTGAAAGTATTTGTATGTGTTTTGTAATTCACATATAATTCTTTAAAAAAAATTTTATTGAATTCTAAGGTTGTTTCTTTTGCCTCCTTAGTCAAGTAGTTTATGGCTCCTATGTTAGAAGAATGTAATTGCCATCTCTTATCAGCCATTGAATGTGTACAAGTATTTATACATTGTAAGGAGGTAGTCTCTCTCTGTTGCCTTTAAATTATATGTAGACTTACTGCTGGTACTAAATAAGAATGTCAGTGCATTAATGCACACAGCGAACCCTTGGTAAGGAGTTACGGGTGTTTTTTTGGCATGTTGTATAATAAGTACTTACTTTCTTATAAAGAAATCAGAGTACATTCTTTTCGGTGTCTGCCAGTTTATATTTTATGTGATCACTGCCATGGCATAGCTAACATTTATTAGTTTAATCTCTTAGCCTCTTATCTTTTTACTTCTTTGCTGACATCCATTGCCTTTTTTTTCCTCTGTAATTTTTCTTTTTTTTTTTTTTTATGAGCAGAATATATTTATTGAGAGAAAGAAAGCTCCTATCCAAGAGAGGGACAGCAGGGGGGCCCGAGCGGGTAGTTCCCCCCATTTTTCTGTAATTTTTCAAGTAGTACAAAGTGCACTCCATGAGTTCCATTTCAGAAATACGTACTACGGTAATATAAATGTCATAGACAAACATGCCAGTCGTCTTCAGCTCTCAAAATTCAGTCTTTAAGTTGAAAGGAGAAAAATAGAACCACACTCAGAATGAGTAACAGCAGTTATTCTATCTATATTTCTATTTCTACTATAGATTTCCATTTCATGAGAGCATGCATGTCCAAGTACCTCAGTATTCTAGTACTAGAAATGACCCGAATGTGATACATAAATTTAATTTTAAAATAGCATTATCACTTGAAACGTAATTTTTTTCTTATCTAAAAGTATTTGTATGTGTTTTGTAATTCACATACAATTCTTTAAAAAAATTTTTATTGAATTCTAAAAATCACCTGGTCACCTAGCAATTAAAATTTGCCACCATTTCATTCATGAATTTACTTTCATGTTAGTTGGTAGATATTCTTGCTCATAATTTCTGTTATAGATGTACAGTTCCACAGGAAATGACATGCAGTAACTTATTTTATAGCCTATAAAAATTGTTTCACACTTTAGAATTTGCTAAAACTATTACTTGATATTGATGCCTTTTTTTCCCCCAACAGGTAATGTATGTAGAAGGAACTGCAGTTATCATGGGTTTTGAAGAACCCAGGCTGCAGACAGATGACACTCCTATTAAACGCTGTCTCCAAACCAAGTGGCCATACATTGAGTTGCTCTGGACCACAGATCGCTCTCCTTCCCTGAACTGATTGCCTGCGTACTGATAAGCTCGTAATAACAGATGTGCAAGGGTTTCGGGACTAGTAAATGGCTCAATTCATGAACAGTGGTATCATTGATTAACTGTAAATATAACTAAAAAACATTTTCAGTGTCTAAAATATGTTTAAATTATTTGTTTTAAAGCTTTATGTTAAGAGGTATACTATTTTGGCCCTTGATATGAATTTTACTAGCAAAATTAAACTCTAATCAAAGTCTATCACTTTGCAGTCAGATAATTTGGCCATTTACTTATTAAATGTTTATTTAAAACACCAAAATACTGTAGCATTTTTATAATATCAAAATCATTATTTTTCAACTCTCCCTTTTTTTTTTCATTTGGCCAGATTTTTCGTTTGAATACTTCTGGCTTATATCAGCTCCACACTGAAAATGCAAAAGAATTAAATTTATTTCTGCTCTAAACTCCATTTTCCATTAGAAATATTGATAAATAACAAATTATCAGCCTGTTTCCTTTGAAAATTGGCTTGACTCTGGCATGTTTACAAAGCATAGAAACTATATGGAAACTTCCCATTATTCATAGGTATGTGGGGGTGTATTTATTTTTTAATGATAGAAAAGAGAATCTGTTCAATAGTCTTGACACTGTTAACTTTCGGTTCGAGTATTGCCAAGTGTACTTTCCCAAATTCGTTCCAACAGCCCTATAAAGCCAGCTTTCTTGTATATTTATAAATGTGATGAATGCATGAGAACATCTGTTATTACATTAGTATACTGCATTATTTATTATTATCCTAATTGATAGTCTAAATAAAGACTTTTTTCTTTAACTCTATCCTTGTATTTTTACATTAGTGGCTTAAAATAAACACTTTTAAATAGTCTGCCCAGGGCCCCAAGAGTACAAAATGTTCCTAATAGACTCCAAAGACCTTGACAAAGTGACCAGAACTTATGCTTACCTAAGAGCTCTGCCAGCTCCCACAGCCAGAAGCGCAGAGCCTGGTGGCAGCTGTCTAGGCCGGAGACAGAGATCCAGAAGCCCCATCCTCCTTCCTTTAGAGTGATGCTTGCTGTTTCCCAGAGCTTTGCTGCCCAGCAATTTAAATGTGAATAAGCACAACTACTTTCTTTCACTTTTTTTTTTTTTTTTTTTTTTTTTTTGTATGACAAAGTGTACAAAGTGTATAGGGTCTCACTGCATAGATTGGACTGCTAGTGACCCTCCTGTTTACAGCCTCCCAACTGCTGGGATTACAGGTGCTGCAGCCACCGCCACACCCAGTCTCAATCACCTTCTCAGCCCTGAGGGCAGGGCTGGCACAGCAGGCCTGGAGATTGAACTCCCAGCCCTGGTGTCTGCCTAAGCAGGCACTTTAATCCACTGAGCTATTTGGCCAGCCTATTTCTTTCACTTTGGAAGAGACAGTTATTTAATATTCTCTTTGACATTTCATAACCAACCTTTACCTTCAACAATATATAGTACAGAAAAGAATCTGAAGTATTTGGAAAGAAAGAAGCTTAAATGTTCCTCATAGGTAATGATTCATAGATAATATACTTGTGCAAAAGACACTACACAAACGTTTAGAATTCTTAAGTGAATTCAGTCAGTTGTTGGATACAAAGTCAGTACTTAAAAATATTTTACAGTCACAAAAAAATTAGAAATAATTTTTTTCAAAATCATTGTCAGTAGCATCAAACACTACCTAAAAATAAGTCCAAAGAAAGATGTGTGCATTTCTATACTGAAAAATAACATTGCTAAAGGATGTGGCAATAGGTAAATGAAGAAATATGTCATGTTCCTAGAATTATAGTCAGTTCCTCCTAAATTTAAGTTTATTTCAGTGAAATTCTAATTAAAAATCTCTCATCATTTCCTTTTAATTTGTGGATTTAATGACCTGACTCTTCAACTTATACATAAAAGAGATCAAAAGTAGCTAAGATAATCTTAAAAGTGGAAATCTGGGAATTTTGGGAAATCGTGATTTCAGCATTATTGTTGTTGTTGTTGTTGTTGTTATTATTATTATTATTATTATTATTATTATTATTATTATTTGGTACTGGGAATTGAACTCAGGACATTGCTCTTGCCAGGGCAGTGCCGTGTTGCTGAAGCTGTCACCCTGGCATATCTCCCTCTGCTATGTCGTCAGTATATTTTATAAAGCTATAATAATTAAATGCAGCATCTGTACAAGGATGAACACGTAGGCCAGGGAGATGGCTCAGTAGAGCGCAAGGGCCTGAGTTCAGTCCCTGGTTCTGCCAAAAAAAAAAGGACGACCACATAAACCATAAGAACACAATACAGATTGAATACCTGTTGTCTCAAATTCTTGACACAAGAAGTGTTTAATTTTTGTTTTATTTTTGAATATTTGCATGTAGTAATCATATATCTTGGAGGTGAAACCTGAGTCAACACAAAATTCACTTATGTTTTATATATGTATTATAGACACAGCCAAAGGTAATTTTATACATTTTTTTTTTTTTTCCAGTACTAATTGAGCCCAGGGTATTTGCACTGAGCTACAATCCCAACTCATGTTCTGGTTGGTTGGTAACAGGGTCTCACTAAAATGCAGAGTTGCCCAGACTGGATTGGAATTTTGTGATGCTCCAAGCTGAGCTTTCCAGAAGGCTGGAATTGTAGGTGTGTACCACCATGTCTGGGTGTATAAAATATATATGTATTTTAACAATTTTGTACCTGAAACAAGGTGTCATGGTATAAAATTTTCCACTTATGGCACCATGGTAGTACTCAGGGCTTTGGAGCATTTCAGATTTCAGATTTTCAAATTAAGGACGTTCAACCTATAAGAAGAGACTCACAAACACATTTGATTCTCAATGAAGGCTGAGAACATCAACAAGGCTATGATGCAACCTCACAAGATGACAAACTGTTAACATTATTTTTTTTTATGTTTATGATTTGTAATGCTTGAGGTCCCATTTTGAGGTGACAAGGAGTATTGTGTAGGGCAGGTCACATGTCATGATAATTTCACCTCCCACTAAAACCTTGTGTATCACATGTTACAGGTGCTTGTGCAACTTGGCAATAAAGCATAATGATTGCCAACAATACTATTTCAACCTACCTGCACATGTGGATCCATGAAGACAGATGCTTATTGTTACTAATCAGTTACATAGTGTTCTTATTTAATCACTAAGCTTGTGGGCAACCACTTCTATCAAACCAAATATTGATGCAGTAGTTTCACAAAAAAAGGTCAAATATCCCACTAGCTTTATGTTTCTATTGCCTTTCTTTTAATATTATAATAAAACTAAAAGAGGGAAATTTTGTTATTTATATAGGTTAACTGTATGATATATTTCATATGCACCCTAAGACTGTTCCTCTTCGCTTAGTGCTGCCAAGGCAAGCCAAGTTTGTACAACCATGTTATAGAAGGATGGTTGAGTCCAGCAATGGCAGATGTAGAATGCCTGGTGCAGTGAGCTGTTTGTATCATTGAAAGGTCTAAAAAGTTCACCCTCATTAATCTAGTCAATAAGTAGTATTTATCAGCATTTTCTTAAATAGACCTTAAGACCTACCTCATTTTATACACAAAAGTTAATTTGTAATGACATGCACCTAATTTGAAATAAACTGGAGAGGTTTATTAACCTTCTAGAGGTGATTGCAAGGCCATATTTTTGTAACTTAGTCATGTGTGTGCATTTCTTTAAAAGGAAACTAATCAAGCAGAAAAAGATATCTGAATTACATATATGTGTGTATGGTGCATCTATGTATATTAAAAAGATTTTACCCAGAGCATATAAAGAATTCCTACCAATCAAAGAAAAAGCAAATTTTAAAATGAGCCAGGGAATTGAATCTACCCTCACACCTGTCCGCAGACTGTCCTGTGAATCACAGTGGTGCCAAACCCTGAGAAGAGTCACCTCACCCACACCTTCCAAGGTCCAGCATCTTTGTGTAACGCAGCGTCATGGGGATAAGGACTGATCACACCCCTGACTATCGGTTCCCAATATGCATTTGAGTGATTTGCTTTAATACCTACTCTCTCTCATGTATCAAACCAAATAAGGACTTAACAAAAAAAAAAGAAAAACTACAAGCCAGTTTTCTTAAAGTACTATAGAGATAAAAGTTCTCAGTAAAATTCTTACAAACAAAATTGGACAGGTTATAAATAAAAAATAAATTATGACCAAGTTGGTTTCTGTCCAGGAATGATTTAACTTGATTAAACCATATAGAATCACAGATAAAATTTTCATAATCATCCTAATGCAAAAAACAAAAGCATTTGACAAAAATCCATCTTTTCACAATAAAAACTGTTGAAAGTAAGTGTGGAAGGAGTGTACCTCAAACTGATAAAAACTATGCATGACAAACCCACAGCCTGAAAGAAAAGCTGAAAGCAATTTCTCTAAAATATAGAATGAGGCAGTACTGTGCAGACTCAGCACTACAGCTCAGTGTAGCACTTGAAACATCAGCTCAATCAGGAGAAAGAAAAGGAATATGAATAGGAAAGAAAGAATTCAAATTACGTTCATGAATCCAAAAACCTGATAATTATCAAAGTGGCCATATTGTGAACTGCAATACATAGACTTAATGAAACCTGTATGAAATACTAACAACTTTGTTCACAAAACTAGAAAAATACTACATGTGAAATCAAAGATCCAGGATAGCCAAAGCTATCCTCAGCAAAAAGAACAAAGGTAGAAACAATACTGGATTTCAAGTTATACTACAAAGACAGTAAAAAAACGAGAGTGTAAGACAGTTCACAGAACACAGCACAAGACAGATCATTAGAGTAAGGCAGAGTCAAACCCATGCACCTATAGTCATCTGGCTGGATTTTGGGGGGGTTGTTTTGTTCTTTGGCTCTTCTATTTCATTCTGTTTGTTTTTATAAAATGTCCAAAATAATATGCAGCAGAAAAGACAACTTCTATAACAAAGGATATTGAGAAAACTGGATATCTACAAGCTGAAGAGTGAACTAGATCTCTGTCCCTCTGGACAAAAATCAAATTAAAATAGGTCAATGACCAAGATATAAAATTAAAAACTATAAAACTCCTAGGAAATAATGTAAGGGAAACACTTGAAGCCATAGGCACAAGAAAGACTGCCTGAATAAGAAACCAAAAGAAAGGGAATTATGTTGAGAATCAACAAGCAGGTACATCAAATTGAAAAGCTGCACAGTGAAGGAAATAATCAGAGTAAAAGCAACCTACTGAATGATAGGAAGGTCTTTGTTCTGCTTCTGATAGAGGATTAATATTTAGACTATATAAAGAACTAAAAAAAAAAAAAAAAAAACCTCTCCAAATCAAATCTATCAAAAAATGGGCAAATAAACTGAATAGGTATTTCTCAAATTAAATGCAAATGTCCAATGGGAATATGGAAAAGTGTTCAACATTTTTATCCAATAGGAAAATTCAAATCAATATGCTTAGATATTATATTTTCATCCCAGTCAGAATGGCTATCATCAAGAGTACAAAAACCCATGCATCCTGGTGAAGATGTGATGAGGTTGGAGTGGTGGTGGCTCCTACATTGTTGGTGGAAATGTAAACTAGGATAAGCACTCTAAATCAGTATGGACACTTCTCAAAATCTGAAAATAGAAATATACTTGATTCAGCTATACTTCTGAGTATATTCCCAAAAGAACTAAAGAAACAATATGACCGTAGTGATTATGCCATACAGTGGCACAATTTGTAATAGCTAAGCTATGGAAACAACTTAGATGCCTGTGAACCGATGGCAGCGTAAATAAAA